AAAAAACATAACTTGCAGCGGAAATAACAAATTACCTCAATTAATAACTGCAATACATTTGTACATCATCAAACATTTTTATAATAATAATTTATTTACTTTTGAATTAAAAATTGTTAACAGATTATTTGGTTTACGTTGCACAAACACAGGAAGAGGTCAAGGTCATATGGCTACCTACCAGGTTTATTGGTAGTGGAAAACATCAGGGGCCCGCCCAATTTTTCAGGCACAAACCCGAGAAGAAAAACAGACGTTCTATAAGCTAGTTGTATAGATTCATCACACGAAGTATCCAAATTCCGTGAAGGGATTCGAATACATAGCTTTGAGGTGCAAAATGTTTTAAAGTTACACTATGCTCAAATTTGATATTAGAAAATATTCAACATGTTTTTACATGTTTGTACCGTAATAGGGAAAGAATCTTCCCATTCAAGAAATTTAAAGCAACTTTAATAGTTTACTGTATGATGGGCATAGTACATCATTAAGTCAACGACCTTAACCAATCGGTCATAAATGAAATTTCAAGTGATTTATTTTATAATCCTAAATCCGGCCTTATACAAGAAGACCTTGTGGTCAATTGGTACACTTTTATTCAGCATCAGGCACGTAAGTAGAACGACCGTCCTTTCTTAACCTTTATTTATGTATAGTTTACTCACATGAAAGGATTTGACGTGTCCGTTACACGTTTGATTATTATCAGTAAGTTTGTAGCACCCTCTGCATCTTTGCAGGGACTGTGCTAGCCTGTGCTTTAGTGAAATATGCCTGTATCTAAATACTTATCAAATTATTGTCCCGTTTTGCTGCATTCCTTGTCTAAACTAACAGGATGTTCACAGTTTAAAATAAAGTTTGAAATAGGACAAATACATGTATATCATTAATTTTCATCAGTGTAAAGGTTTCTTACACATAGTTTTTCTATTGTATAAATTATGAATGGAACCAATCTTTTTCTTCAAAACTCATGATTTGCTGCGTATTCAAGTAATAAAAATTCGGAATTTACTTCAATCTCCTTTCAGTAGAATGTCATATGTGTCACGACTTGCAGGTAAATATGCCAGTCAGTCAGTTAGTCAGTCTGGAATGCACCAGGTGTACGTGAATAGTTAGCTTCATACAAAAATAACACACAGGTAAAAGCATGATAACATTGTGTTTTAAGAAAATATGTTTTGGCGTGTGAGTGTTACCTACTCTTAGATGGTTCTTTTTTATTTATTTGTATGTTATGTATTTTTATAAAAATGTTTTGGTACCAGAAGCATTAAACCATATGCAACAATCTATTTTATAACGTTTCAACTCCGCCAATTTAGGCCACTTTCGCTTTGTATATAGTTTTTTTTTCAATTATAATTTACACGTTACAAGGGGGTTTTGATTCAAGCGGTGCTAATGTTAAGCAACTGATGTTAAGAGATGAATTCTAAAATAACCACATTTGTATTAAACTCATAGTTCTTGAATCGTTCATTGTTAATTACGCACATTGTTCCGATATATAGGCCTACTTTTGAAAAAAAATCTTATTAACTATTTTCTTCTTTAACTGTATTAACAGATGCGGAGCGTTTTACTTGCTTGGAAGTCTGGTATGTATCTCTAAAATATTTCTAATATGCCTCCGGCAGTGACGTAGATTTCAAAAGGTTCCAAAAACTATTTGCTAAGGTCGAACTTAAATACTAAATGGTTAATGCAGGAAACATAGCCCTAAAACACTGATTGCCTATGCGATATGTCAATTAATCCCACCCGACTCTATTGTACCACAATCAGATTGAATATTTTCTGATGCACCGAAGGACGATTATCTTTGAGTTTATTAATTTTGCCCTACGTTTTAGAAACACCTGACGTTCAAAGTTTTTTTCGGGCTGACGATTGATCCCTAGACCATTGTAGCCATATTTTTCTCAAACGAGTAGTCTCCTCTATCGTTACAAAGGGAACATTCCGGAATCCAAAGAAGATCATCAGTGTTAGAATACACGTATGCAAATGGTTCCAATTCTTACTTTTGAAAAATAAACGTGTTCCCTCTTTTCTACTTTAACTGTATTGACAGATGCGAAGCGATTACAATGTCTCTATTGCATTTGTTATGGTATAATATAAAATACTACTGACGAACTTTTTAAATTCATGTCCGGGTTTCAAATTCTATGTGAATGACCCTATTGTTTTATATAGACTGATTACATACTTTACTGCATCAAATTTCCAAGTGATATTGTTTGCACTAACTATTTAAAAGACCATGTTGATATATAGACTGATTAGATAATTGGTTCATTTAAAGTGGTATTGTCTGCACTTCCTATATACATTAATCTTTTAAAAATAGCAACTCTTAAGACCAAAGTTGGTTTTAGCAAAACATACAAGGCAACGTAATATTGGGAAAGCGTTTTGAAGGCGAATATTTATTTTTTTATGTTTTTTTTATTGTTCATATTCCCTGTTCAACAAAATAATGAACATATGGTTCAATATACCCTATCATTGGACTGTATGAGTTATAATAAATAAATTTATTTGCGGTGCTGCGTGCGTCTTCTTTCGGTCAATCATATATTCATGTACGTATTGATATCCTGGATGATTCTACCAATTAAATTTCATCATTCATGGATCTTATAACAAGATTTTTTTTACAAATTACCAACGTAACAGTTTTGCAACTATTCTTCAAGTGCGTCTTAACTTTTAACATATTTTCAAGACATTATGTCATAGGTCATTTAAATGATCGTACATTTTCTTTTTATTCCTTAAAGCATTGCAGACTGCGAAAACTGTCTCTTATAATCAGACAGATGGCAAGTCACAAGTATTACGCGTTATCAATTTCATTACGCGTTATCAATAGGCCTTTCTCAAATTATATGCATACTTTACATTCCATCACCAGAGAGAGGCTAACAGGGCATGAATGTAAACAAATAATGTCTGACCTGATAAGCCCTAGTGTGTTAAACTTACTGGGGAAATCTCATTTTTATTCCAATTCTAAGTATGATTATACTGTTAATTTTCATAAAATACCTAAGAGGATGTGAGTTTAATTGTGAAAATAAGATGGATGAAAGAACATTTCAAGGTAAAATACCATTGTTCTTTTCTTTTTAAACCAAGTTACTAAAGCTGTATTACTACTTACAATTTAATTACTCTGATTTCTCATTGTTTTAAATGTTTCATTAAATTATAAACATAATCATATGTTTTGTTCATATATTTCATTTAATATATCACACTTATAATGATAACATTTAAAACATAATTGCTTCAGAATCTAAATCAATGCCGTTTTTATACTAAAAAGCAATAACGGTTATTTTATGTACTATTTCAGATCAATATTTTGCTATAGTTGCTCGTTTTCAAAGCATTTCACACAATAAGATTAACAATCATGGACATAAATTCATATATGTCTGAAGAGAATAGATGTACCCTGTAGATGGTTCGACTGGAGTAATAATGAAAAGACCAGTAAGATGAACACTAAAGAAGAAGATTTCATTACCAGATGAAAGGTATACACAAGACTTAATTTTCATTTTTTACACATAAACAAAGTTCAGCCCCTGTAAAAAAATATATGTGCAATTAAAATATGAATTGATATATTCTAGAAATGTCATAATTCTTGTTTCCACTTCTAAATAAAATATATATATATATTTTCAGGAATTCCACTGGTAACAGTCATGAACACAAATTGACAACTGGTATTTGAATCGCCTTTAATTGTAATATCTCTTCATGGCAGTGGCATAACAGATGAAAAAGAAACTATCAAACAGTTCAAAGAAGAATTACAGAAAACTAAGGAAGAAAACAAACAGTGATATTGAACTTTTGATACAAACAAATTTTTTAATTTTGACAGTTGTATATCTTGTAATGATATACAGGATTTCCAGCAAAATTTACTATATATTCATTACAGTTTTCAATGTTATAAAACTTAAAGAACGTTTATTATGATGCAAGCAAAACAATCAGCTTGACTGACGAATGTTTTTTAGCATATTTTAAAGGACCATTTGTTCAGTCTTTTGCGTCTTGAATTTAAATAAAAACTTAAAAAGAAAGCATCGCATTACTTTGTTTTTAGCATGTGCTTTAGGTACAGCTGCAGGGAATATGTCAACATGTTAATTACATTTAATATTTTGTCCTCTTATTGCATTATATTGTTGAGAGAATATTTCTTGGAATGTTAAAAGAAGTGCTAAAACTCGATGCTTCCTTCCTAATTCCCTCCAACCGCAAGGTATTGCACAGGTTTTCTGCGAATGTTCAGTCCCCTAAGTACATGGAATATTTGGGGTTGGTAAGTCCAGGCAACATCCTCTGGAAGTGCCATGTTCCCCAATGATTTGTTATATACCAGCCAGTAGAGGGTTCCAACAATATGACCACATAATCAACTCGGACCAACTGGACAAGTGCAATAATCTAATGATACTTCAGCTTCGTCTTAAGATTTGACTGATATTTGCAATTAAATGATTGTATTTCGTTATATACTAAATATTTTATACTGTAATTAATTACATAGTTGATAATATATAAGTTTTACGTTCCTTACTCAGCATGAAATGTATTTTTACATTGCTGTAAACAATATCATGTGTTATGATACTGAAAATCCATTGAAATGTATAAGACGGGGGTGTCATGTTTAAACAAAATATTATTTTGATTTGATAAGACTGTCTGTAAAATTAACCAGTTTCTAGAGAGTCATCCAGAATGTTTTACTTTTAAATACAAGGTGAATAAAACTTTTTAAACTTTTTAATTTCAATAGCTAAATTTAGGGGAAGTATGGTACAGAATTCAGCATCCAACTGTTTACATCTATTATCAGTTAATAGCTTTATACACTCTTGACCATCATGTGTTTAGGTTAGCAATAAAATACTGATAACGCAGATAATGTCTATTTAAGTTGCAAAGAATTTACCTGATATTTATACTGACAAAGAATGTTAGAAATTACTTGGAATTATCATAAACTTTAATTCCCTTATCTGGTCTTGTATATTCTTCACTGTATATAGTGTAAATTAAACCCTTTGTTGATTTATATCTCCAGAAAAGATTTTTGTAAAATTAAATATAGTTCTCAACAAGTATGTAGCAAACAGAACATTATCAAGATCTCTGACACTGTAGAAAAATCTTTCGGCCATATATTTGTGATATGTTTACATAGAGCAGATACCGAAGCTTGCCCTGTTAGCCTCGCTCTGAGAAATCTATGAATATGTATGAGGTAATATTAAGAAGGGTCTATTTCGAATTCAACTTCAATGTACCGTCTGTTTTTGACCGTGTGCCCTGTCCTATATTGTGTCCTGTGATGCCTCTTGCCGCTAGTCACGTGTTGGGGGATGCGTTCATTGATTGCAACCCTTCCTTGTTGATTTTTTTTTTTCATATTATTTGTATATAAAGAGAACTTAACTATCAAATAAGACAAAATAACACAAAGCTGAAATCACTAGATGTTTATTATAATTATGTTATTTACAATTATGTTTTTATATTGTCAATATTGTTATTTGTATTGCACTTCTTAACATAATGTTTGTAGTAGTATCCTCATTTAATTTTGTCACTGCAGCTCTATTAAGTAAACTATGTAACACAAACTTCACTGGTTAATTTAACCCAGTTAAGTATTCTACATAGACAAGAGAATAAAGTCATCTGAACACCCAAGATACAATCTATAAACTGACATTTCAACAGTTTGTGAAAAAAGTAAGAACTCTTAAAAGCAAACACATAGATGTATTTCCAACCACCTATGTTAGACCGGCAGTGACACAATTATATGACCAACATGTTCATAAAAAATCAGGCATTTAGTATTATTCTGTGCATTTTTTTCTTGATTGTAAACTTTGTCTAAAAATACCTTTTAACATGTTATTACATTTATGTTTCTTTTAAATCTTACAAAATATAATAATGCTTCAAATATCTCTTAATAAGTCAAATTAATCATTAACCTGGAGCATCAAACACTTTCTACATATGCACAAGAATAAAAATTTACATGTAAACATGCTAGTGACCCCGACGTTTTTTACAACACACTACAAACACTATAGCTACGCAAACATTCAAAATAGTTTGATAATGGAAAAAGAAATAAAATAGTAATATAAAATGAATATAGTATTAAGAGCAATGGTAAATGATATTCAGTGTATAAAAATAAAGTTTGAATGTATAAAAATACTAGAACATATCCAGAATTAAATATTAACATATAGTAAACCTGACGAAATCAACTGGCATTAAAAATGTAATCGGGAATATACTTCGATTGGAAAGCATAGTAAGTGAAGTTCTTTTTTGCAATGTAATGATTGTAACATACGAGTCCAAATATAATTATAGCAAAATTATGTCAGTTCAAATAACAAAATGGTCAAGAGTTTTGTTGAAAACGAATTGTGATGAGTTATTATAAAAATTTATCACAAATTTTTAAAATGACAAACAAACTATTTCCCATCATAGTAACATGATACGTAAGTAAAAGAATATTCTTTTTATGTTTGCACTTTGCACGGCAAACATTCATTTATCTTATTTTTGCATGGCACATGTGCTAAATACGCATAAAACATTCATAATAATATTGACTAAACTAACAGAAACACACTTATAAAAAGCTTGGATAAGAGAAACACAAACATGAAATAAGAGCACACTTTTGCATTTTTATAACGTAAATAAATAATAAATGTTTTATCATATATTGGTAGCCCAAGTAATGGCTGGATTGCAAAGAGATCAATGCTGTTTAGTTTTTTTTACTTCTTTTTTTAAAATACTATTGAATGTGATTTTTTTACGAAAGTGTGCTCATAAGCTATGTCAAAAATGGTATCATCGCATGTTTAATGAGAGGGCAAAATGCTCTTTATGGTAAGTATTGTACAAATCATATGTGCATATAATACAATTTTTATACCTGTAGCTCAAAAAGATAAATCACTGGATCAAATTCTAGGTCAACTGATATGAAAGTTCAAATAGGCATCTTGTCCAAATGCCATAGTTGTAGCTATAGCACAGTAGGTCACGGTCATGACCTCGGTCGTTGAGGTGGGAGAAGGGAGGTCACTATGACCCCTAAGTTACAATTTTAGCAAACTTGGAAGAGGTCATCTAGATCATTGTTCATGTCAAAAAATTGAAATAAATCATGTTATATGTCAGTATTATTTTTAATAAAATATATATTTTTGTCCCAGGGGTAAGGTATATTTTGCCCATAGAAGATGGTGATTTAGACAAACTTGGTTGATGGACATAACAATGTCTTGAAACTTGACCTGCTAAGCTTTATTTTAATACTCTATGTTTTATTTTGCAAATTTTTCCAGAAATTTTTTGAAGATGCTCAATGCAAGAACAATTTTGCATTAATCTAATGATTGAGATAAAGATGTTGTTTGAAACTCAAGCTGACGATGTGAAACGGATGACAGACACAGTCTGGTTACCATAGTGCACCACGAGAACGTTGTGCCGAAGTGATCTTAAATAACAGGCAACGTATTTAATAAACCAGTAACATATTGTATATGTAAAACAATAATCAGTTTGTGCTTTCCCTTTCTTATCCCATTTCTGTATGGTACATATCATATATTAGATAGAAGCATATCACTGGAAAAAATACTAAGCAAATTACAAATTATTTGATCAAGATCATTTTTCTAATATTAATTATAACAAATGTATATTCCTTAACTATATAAAAATGGTATCATGTCAAAATACAAAAGAAAATGTATTTCTTAACACAGTTATATATATATAATCTGATTAACAAATGACGATTATCTTCTTGCCCTTTTCAAGCATTCACCATGCTAGTTACCCGGTTTCTTTATAACAAACATACTACCAAACATTCAAGTTAGTATAATACTTAAACAAACAGAAATATAAATATGGTTAAATACATATATAAAATGTTAAAGCAGTAACAGACATTGTAAAATGGTATCAAAAAAAGGTTTAAGAGTATGAAAAAAATGCACAAATGCTTTAACATATTCACAGACATTCTGTAGGAAATTACAGTCCTACAGAAAACTTTAATACTGCTTAAGCGGCCCCCTGATTTAAACGACTCCCTGTCTTATCCGACCTTGTTTCAGTACTCCCAACGTATTTTCCTATATAAATGGCCTGAATTAAACGACTCCCATTCATATGTGACAAACGACCCTAATTGTCTGGTCCCAATGCAATGTTTGGTCTGATTTAAACGACTTTCACACCTTTTAATTGTGCGTTAATCAGATAGATAATACCTATTATAACGCACAGAGGGCCAAAATACTTAGTAATTAAGTCCAATTATAATCCAGTAGCAAACAAAGTCTACACACCTCTATCTCAATTACACAGTTAACATGTATACATGCAGGTATCAAGTGACGTAGCGTCTGTTCATGGGAAGCATGATGCAATCGATGTGTGTGTAATGTACATTATGGCCTGAGTAAACTGGGTTAAGACTTGTGTTAGATTTTTTTTAATTATAGAGTGCCCACGGAAGATGTTTTAGGCAGCATTTTTTTTTAATTTACCTTTCTATGGCTGCATAATTAATACGGACAAAAATATTGATACCGAACCAGAAAATTCTTTGGATATGGATATGTTTAAAGATCCTGTAACACAATTTTTTCATGGTTTTATTTCATAAATTTGATGCTCAAATTAAGATTTGTCAATATTGTAAGTTCAAATAAGCATAATTTATAAAGATATCACCCAATTTAAC